AACATCAATATATTCACAAATGAGCCAGCAATTGAAATCACATCCTTGAAATGTACATATTTAAGGATATAGGTCACTGATGATGATGCTAAGGTCTTTTCCACAAACTACCAGCTGTGAAAGCTGTGAGGGGATTTTCAGAGACATGTCAATATATTCATCATTGAGCAAGTATTGAAATTACAATCTTTTAAATGTGCACATTTAAGCAATAGGTCAGTGCTAAGGGATTTGTTAAGAGCAGTCTCACAGTCTCATGTCACAACAGCTGTGAATATATTGCCACTGCACAGCACTTAACTTGACTTGACGATTCATTTACTGTGCTGTTTACAAACCATTTCAGTGTCTGGTTCAGTGTGGTAGCTGTATATTTGTTTTCACTTGAGCTGAGGACTTCAAGTATTTTTGTATTTATATCTGATGTTGTTCTTTGTGTATTTTTTGTGTCTTGGTGCCTGCTGTAGGTCAAATTTCCTTTAGAATAATAATAGAATTTAAGTTAAGCGTTCCATAAGCTAAAAACACAATCAGACCTTTTTCATTAAAGTCTCTCAGACTGTGGAGCCATAAGCTTACAGCAGATCAGGTTAAAGAGGAAGTTGAGAAAGAAATGCAGACACAGTGGAGTCTCCTCTCTTTCCTCACTCATCTTGTTTCCCTCCCGGTCCTCCTCTCCATGCTGAGAAGGAAGGATCCTCCTGGATCCTCTCCAGGACTTCAGCTCTGTTACTCCTTATACCCACTTCCCCTCTGACGTCTCTCCTGATCTCTGTCTGCCACCACACAGTCTGGGCCTAAGGAATTAAAGATACTCTATATTTAGTATCTGAGCCATCAATAAGTAACACACACACACACACACACACACACACACAATGTAATTCTGAGTGTGTATGGGGGAGTTCCAGTCTGGGTGTGAGGCTGCATGTCTAGACACAATACAGTATTTGTTTTCTATCGCTACGCTACATTGCCAAACTACTGTGAGCAAGGTATGTCACATTGGTTGATATACTCTATACTTATCCCGTAAACAAACTCATAACACGTTCAGGCTCATGGCAAATGTATATTACATCCATATATCATTTTTGGCTCAACACAGCTGAATGAGAGCTGAACGAGACAGCTGAAATATGCTTGATTTTAAGTCCACACTTTCACCTCATAGACTATTCAATGAAGTCAACGTGCTGGAGTCTACAGAAACTGATTCATAGTCAATGCCTTTTTGTGATTTTATGGATTTTATAGTTACTAAAGAGGGTAAAAACTACAGTGCAAAACTCTAAAACCCTTAAACAGTGTGGTAAAGGGTTAATCTGGTAAAATATTTGTTTTCACTCAAGACTTCGCTCAGTTTGTGACACCAGCTGGTCTATGACAGTAACATCACATCTATGATGTGCCAGTGTGAGCGTGTCTGTGTCCACCAGCAAGGTCAGCTACTGTACATGATGATCTGACTGATTCTATATTTACAACCTACAGAGAGGAAGTGGGCTGATGGCTGTATGTCGCCCCCTAGTGGTTCACTCCAGAGACAGACTGGTGACCAACTACTCTGCCTTGACTTGAGTTACATCTGCCTGTTATTATTGTTACCTAAAACTAAACTAAAGTCCTGAAAGGTGATTTTTTTTTATGTTGTGCAAACAAATGAATCATCTCCTGTGCAGAAGTTGTGATTTTGTTTGCACAAGATATATCTGATTGGAACACGGTAATGGCCCAAATTGTGCACAAAAGATTGCATTGTTACAAACTGAGATATGCGAGGCTGTCAGTGGTTGAGATACTAAGCGCTATATCGTAGGCCGCTGGGCTTGCTTGAGTTTCTCGAAGATGTTTCACCTCTAATCTAAGAGTTCGATCTAACAGTTCAAACTGAAGAAACCCAAGGAGGTCCAGTTGCCTACGATATAGCACTTTAGATTACCATGACCTGGATGACTGAGAATCTTCACCACCATGTCACTGTTTGTAATTCTTTTCAGCTGTTTTGCATTTCAGAAAAGAGATACCGATCTGGGGCAGTGGGTCCACAGTCAGTTTCAATATCTAAAATATGACATTAAAAAAAGACCTCCTGTGATTCAGGTCTGCTGATGCCTGAGAGCATCTGTCACACATGGCAGACAGGTAGATCATCTAGGTTTGCTTAAAGGGATCTGAGGAAGTACTTTGTAGGGTACGGGTAAGTCTCACACAGGAGGAGAGGAGAACGAAGTTTAACTCCTGAATGCCTGATGCGTCAGTTACTGTCCGATGTTTGTGGGAGTGAGTAGGTATTAGGAGCAGACTATAGCCCTTTTTACACAGAGATAGTGCTATAGGGCTGCTACAAAGTCCCTTATTTATGCCACCTTTGCATTTTTACATAGAACCAAACAATAGCGGCATCATCCCGCTCTAGTGTTTGATTATACGCTGCATCGCAGCTTTGCTGAATCAAAAAAGGCCTGATGGGTGTTACATGTAACACAACAGTGTCAGCCTCTTGCGTGACATATAACATATGTGTCATCAGCACTTTATAAACAATAACAATCAGTCACTGTCTCTGTTACATGGCTGCTTATTTCATCCTCAGCTCGGACGGTAAGGACCACATGGACTTCATTGTTTTTCCACTTTGCTGACATTTACGCCCACTCTTCTCCTTCTTTGAGTTAGCTGCTAATTGCTAACAGCTACTTTTTATGTCTCCTGCAGTGGGTTGCACTCTTGACAAATAGGCAAAACGTCACACCCGTGCCACCCATGACCCTATCTTGCAGGCTGTCCTGTTTATACAGACACCATTTTGGTGCTGTTACTATCTCCTGTGGTGGCTTAAAGGCGAGACCACTCTGACCCTCATTACACGATCGTACCTTCATACAGCATGGCGAGGTGGCATAGTGGTGTGATATTCCCACCTTGAACAGGCAGTGTAAAAGGGACTGGTGTGTCACTGATTGGGTAGGGCCTCTTATAATCCTTTATATTGTTCAAGATGAATAACCATACACAACAATATAAAAGTTGGATTTGAGTGTAAATGTTAACATCTCACAGTGCAAGAAAAAGTGTATACAGTCTGTCTCTGAAATGCACAGTGTGTGCGTGTGTGTGCAGTTCAGATGGGGTATCAAGCCATGATAGATATACCAATAAAGAATAACTACTCTCCTTGTGTATCAGACATCAGTCTTTATCTCAGTTCTGCCTCTTTCTTTATTTTTGTGTAATGTACTTCACAGCTCATTTTGCAATCTTGTTTTGTCTATTTTCATTTCCCTCTTCTTCCAGACACCCTCCTCAACTTGATGTATTTAACTCTGTGTAATTTTCCTCTGCACAGAATGCTGTGTTTGTGTCTGTTTACTGTTGTATTTGTTCTGTCATGCATGAGTGCAGTAAAGTATGTGTGCAATCTTAAATCTAAATATTGGCATGTGACTGCAGGGGAAAGCCCCTTAGTTTGATTCCTTTGTTGCCTTTTCTCTTAAACCCTGCAGGCAAACAGCTCAGGCTTGTTTATAGCTAGGGGAAAGGTATGAGAAGACATATAGATTAGGGTGTAAGGCATCCAAGTTTCCAAAGTATTATAATTATACAATTACCTCATCTCTTCGTATGAGACAAGTTTCAGTTCTGGATAAATAGAAATGATTGGTGATACCTTTTTTTACAAGAGCATATTTTTTTAAACTCACTTTGATATTTCAACACAGTCTGAATTCGAATCATTTTAATGAGCACGGTCAGATCACATAATAACACCGACTGTGAGTCCTGAATCACAGGGCTTCAAAAACCTCTGCAGAATAACAGGATCACTATCATTTCATTGAAAAAGGTCAATTTACATATCAAACAAGGTAAAGAATGTAGAAATAAACAGTTACTATGGCAGGTCATACACAGTAACAGGGTGAACTGCCATAACTCACTGTTAATGCAAATCAGTTTTATTGGTTTATTTTAAAGCTTTGGATGGAGATCTACAGGTAGAAGAGGAGTGAGATTCATGCTTTTAGATTATCTGCATTAATCTATATATTATTAATTGAACTTAAAGGTCCCATTTTGTAATAAATCAAATTTGCATGTCTTTTTTTTAATTTCAAAGTAGGGAGCCCACTGTTTGTTTTGTGAAACCAAAAGTCGAGCCATTTTAAAAACCATGATTGTTTTTTCAAAACCTAACCACAGACTTTTGTTGCTTAAACCTAACTATGTGTTTTACCTATGTTGTAAGTTTATTTTGAAAAGAGACTGTATGTATCTAATGAGCAGAAGCTGTACACTTCCTGTGAAAACAGAAGTGTATTTTGAAAAGACACAATGCATGTGACAAGCGTTAATTGGCAGGGTATTCCTGAACGTCCAAACTGACACAGGAGGCTAATTAGCATGCCATATTTTGATGTGTAGTTCGCCTGACAAAGTGACAGTATTTGAGGAGCTGGGATGAAAACATGTTGACAGAGAAATGCGCTGTCTGTCTTCAGACACTGTGCCTTTAAATGACTTCTGTGAAGTTGTGATGTCACACTATACTATGTGAAAGTAGAAAGTGCTGTTACAGTGCCATTACAGTCATTCTCTGACTGCAATAACAAATTAGACATGCAAAGAGTGCAGATGTGGAAGACCTGGAAACACTGACCAATCAGAGTGGACTGGGCTATTTCGGTATGGGGGGCTTAACGAGACAGGTGCTAAAACTGAGTGTTTTCAGACAGAAGGAGAATACAGGTATATTCAGACAGATATGTTGTTTTTTTAAATGAAGGCAGGTAAACATGATCTAGATGAATCCCCAAATACAAGTATGAACCTGAAAATGAGCACAATATGATCCTTTAAAGATATGATGATTTGTAGAAAAAAAACTGTCCCTCATGCTTCTCCCTTGTGCTCCCTCTCACCCTCCTTCCTCTTTCTCCTTGTTTTTAACCCCTATCATTTTTTACTTCTGACCTCTTGCCCCCCTCCTAACAATCCAGGGGAGCCATGAAGTATGAACTCCACTGACATCTGCAGGACGATAGAATAAGCTCAACTAGCTGCGCAATCATGAGCACTCCCCCGACAGGAACTCCAACTATGGAGGTGAAGGTGGTCTCCCAGGAGATGGCATTACTTAGCAACATACTGGCAGCTTACACCTTCATTGCAGGTAGGTCCAATCAGCAAAACTGCCATTTGTGACAATGTGTGATCACACTGTCGTCATCATTATGCTCTTGTTGTGTTATAAGATCAATGAAATGAGGGAGTAGCAGCCCTCGTCATTCTGGGGACCCCATGGATTTCCTAAAGGACCCCTGTGGGGCCATGGACCACAGTTTATGGACAAGATATTTCCTTGACTAGCACATGGACCCCTGTTAAATACATTTCTTGTTTTAGCTAACACTTGTTCTCAGATAAGAGGACAATGATTTAATCAGATCTGATATATTGAAACTTACATTACATTTACATATGCATGTTTCCACAGACACGTTATATTTCTCAACAAGACTATGGTGAATGTGTGGTTACATTTAGGGCAAAAACAACTTAGTTATGATTAGGAAAAGATAATTGTTTGGCTTAAAACACCCATGTTTGATGGCACAAAAGTCGCTGGAAAAGCAGGGACAGGTCAGTGGAAAACACCCACGGTGGCTTGAGTGCTGCTGAGAAATGCTTCCAAAGGTCAGGAAACTTAAACTAACTGTAGAGTGTGTGTATTTTGGAGAAACGGCACTTCCGAGCAATGGGCGTTTGGGATAATGAGCTGTTGGAGAAATGGGCTTTCGGTTCAATGGGACATTTTCTGGACAAATGGGGTTTGGGAATTTTAAGCCGTCGAAACAATGGCATGGCATCTCAAAACTTTCGCTATGCTAATGCTAACTCTGCTCTCTGTACTGATAAGTGTGCACTGTAATGGAGGTTTCAGGTTTCTTTGCTGGTGTTGTGTTGAAGTCTGCTCTTCTGTCGATGTGTGTTTCCTGTAACAGACAGCAATTGGCTTTTGAATTAGTGAGCACCTAATCTAGCTGTCCACTTTACGTTTGAATCTCAGATTTTAAAGCAGTGCACAGCATTGCCCCCCTCAGTAGGGGAATGCGAAAACATCTCTCTAGTGACAAACTTTACACTGATACAAGTCAGTATAGTCAAGGTCAGACACTTTAGGAGACTTAAAAACACATTTTTGGGTGGAGAGGATCTGTGACTGTGTTCAACATTTTGATTAACTGAAAACTTTTCTGCATTTCTTTAATCCTCCTCTCTCTCATAGACCAACCTGAGAGGACTGCCTTGGTGTTTCTGGGCGGTGTCTGTGTCGGCCTCCTTGTCACACTCTGCGCCATCGTCTTCCAGATACACTGTCGAGCAGACTGTCACTATGGCAACAGTAAGCATCCTCACAGTCGCCACAGGAACAGGCATCATCACCGTCGCCATCACGGCTGTCCCCTCCATCAGGCCACTGACAGTAATCCAGACAACACTGCTGTTGTTGCCGCTGGAGGGACGGGGCCCACTGGGGACAGTGAATCAGAGGACTGGGATGATACGTCTGACCTGTCGGCACGGAGACGCAGACGCTTCGAGAGAGCTCTGCTGCACGCCAGCATGTTCACATCAGCCGAGGGTATCTCTAACAGACACACACATATGAAGAATCATGCGTCATATGAAGACCATTAAATCCAAACACTCAAACAGTCGTCAGTATATCATGTAGGTAGCACATGTGATAACTTAACCACATTACTGTAGTACAATTTTAAGGTACTTGTACTTGAGTATTTCAATTTTATGTTAGTTTACACTTCTACTATTACTACTCTACAAATATACAGGGGTGTCGTAGTCGGAGGAAAAGTGGGACTAATTACCCAGGGCCTGAATGGAAAGGCGGCCCCTCAAAATGCCTGGATTGAAAAGTTTGGTTTTGTTTGTAGTTTTTTATTAAAAAAATAATCAGTGCCGTAAATGAATTAAAATTGGCTGAACAAATTGGTTAAAAAACTAAATTCTGTAAAAAAAGAAATAGTCGAAGCTCTCTAAGGGCCCCTCCCACCTCTTGAAGGCACAAAATGGTTTAGTCCACCTTTGCACGGGGACTTGTTTCTAAACTTAAGCCCCTTTCCCACTGCACAAAAACCCACTAACACCTGTTTTTTTTTTTTTTTTAATGCAATGGTAAAGGTTTAAATCGACATTCACACCCAGGTCAAATGACTATTTGTCCCCTCCGGCTCTGATTAGCATTGATGGGAACACAACACAGGAGTGAACGCGCTAATTTTAGCTCCTTTACCGACGAGATGCAATGAGACACCACCCCAAATAATGTCCGTCTCCACCCAAGCAGCATTCACACATTGATCCAACTTAGTCAGCACCAAGTTTGAGAGATAAATAATAACAAGTAACCACTGTAACATTTTCATTGGCTTTCATAGGCAGAAAGGCATATTCATCTGCTGTAGAGCCATGTACACAGCGCTGATCCACTGGCAATGGGAAAGGAGTCTATAGGCTATTTTTAGTTTGAAAAACTTGAGCCGAGTGGGTGACTGCTTATGCTGCTTATGTCTTTCTGTCTTCCCCAAGAAAGGGAAATCAGGGTTCCAAAAAAGAAAAGACAGAAAGAAAGCAAAGGGAAAGGAAGCACACTGACTATAGCCTATAGCACTTACGATTACCATGACCTGGATGACTGAGAATCTTCACCGACAACTTATAGCACAATACTCTGACAGGGGCAATTCAGCTGCCTTATGATGTTAACATGTAATTTAGTATCTTTTATAGTATGGTTTCTTTACTTAAATAAAATATCTTAAAGGAGCAGTGGGTAGGATTTATTGGAGTATAGTGGTGAGGACTACCCTGGAAATCCAGAGTTCTTGCTAGAGCACAATTTGAATTTGCTCAGCGAGTCACTCTGGCAGTCAGTAATGATGCTCATTATCTATTCCCATGAAACCGAGCTGCACCAATCACATCAGTGTATCTGATATAGGCAGGCCAGAGGCGAGCTAAACAGATGACGCCAGTGCTGCGACGACAAAGTCCGGAACCAGTCAGTAAACATTGCAAGATGGCTACGGATTAACGTCAGTTGTTTGAAACGGCTTTGGCCGCTACAGTGAACGAGTTAGACTTGGCCTTTTCTCTAAAAGAGGAACAGAAGACGGCGCTTGAGTCTTTCCTTTGCAAGAAGGACGTTTTTGTTGTTTTGCCGACCGGATACGGCAAGAGTCTAAACTACCAGTTAGCTCTGCTGGTAGCTAAGCTCTGGATACGTCACCCCGTGTATTGTTCTGATTGGTCGTAGTGTTATCCAATTGAGTGCAGTGATATTTACAAATGCATGCTTGGTGCCGCCCTTCGAGTTGGGCCATTTTCATTACTCATGGCCAGACCCTAAATCTTTCTAGATTTGGGTCTGGATTTCCAGGCTAGGTGAGGACTGCAACCAGCTAAAACTTCTCATGGTTAGATTTCCTTCAGTATTTATTGTTTGGGAAGTTTTTACTAGGAGCCAAATTATCCACAGAGGTCTCTTCCTCTCCAAAACAAACTGAATCATTGATTTAAACCAGTAAAAAAACTTAATAAAGCAGTTTTGATTCTGATTCTTCCCACATCCTCCACACTGAGTACAAGCTTTTACCTTCATACAGACGATACAGGATGTCCAAATTTAAATTGAATCATATTAAAAATTCATTTGTGCCAACTTTAATCAGATTTTAAATAACGTTGCTTGATACTTAGGGGCTGTGTTGTGTTTTGCTTATGGTGCTCTGTTGTGTGCTGGTGTTATGTGCAATACATTAGTGGCTGATGTGCAGTACTGTATACTGTGTTTTTTTTATGGTGTATGCATTTCTTTTCTTCTGGACTATTATTGTAAGGCAGCAATACTTGTCCAGCTCCTGAGTCCAAGGCAAATTTCCCTATGGGGCCAATGAAGAACATTGTATCGTTTCATATCATATCGCATCGCATCGTATCGCATCACATTGTATCATACTGTATCATATTGCATTGTATCGTATCGTATCGTATCATATCGTATCGTATCGTATCGTATCGTAGACAAGCAAAGCAGAACAGTTAGAACTGTGATGTGAGTAAGAATAATTCAATTTTTAATCTTTGTGTAAAAAATTTTTATACAGGTATTTAAAAGTTGTAATAGACTCATTGAGAGATACAATGTGTTAATGCACCTTTATACATATTCACTCACAGACTGTTTATCACTAGACATACACACACATACTCATACTTTAAAATAGAAGTCAGTGATGTGAAATTTGATTGTTATGTGAATGGACAGTGTATGGGCGTGCTGTAACCCTTGTCTTTGTGCATGTGTGCGTGTTTTGTGTGTATCGTCAGAGCTGGACCGGGCCCAGCGGCTAGAAGAGCGGGAACGGATTCTCCGAGAGATCTGGATGAACGGACAACCAGACATCAGTACAGTCACTCAAAGTCTCAACAGATATTACTGACGCACAGTCAAACAGGCAGATAGTCAGGAGGACACGGAGCCTGACAGGCGGGCAGACGGATAAAGGAACATAAACAAAAGAAAAAACACTGGATGAAATGAACATAAACCATCAGATCAGGAGTACTGTCTTCACTGCACCAAAGAGACTCTTACAGATCAAACTACTAGTGACAGTACTGCCAAGAGCGGCTCCCTCCACTCTGTAAACAACAAGGGAAACATATGAGTTGTGATGGCTCACTCCTCCAAAACAACAAAATGACACTGAAGTGTTGGGAAGAAGAATGTCCTCATGCCCTGAAAAGCCAACAAGTAAAGACACAACGTACCTACAGAGCTCACAAAACTACACAAGGGATTTTATAACTTTAAATATTTTAACAGGTGCTTTTGAGAAATGTGGAGGTACATAAAAAGAATGGGAGGCATTAAGGAGGCTGCAGTGCTGCAGCTGTTCATGAGTGTATGTATTCAAATATCAGTGATATTTTGTTGTTGCACTTTTCTCAGCTCACCATTCTATTGGTGCATACTGGAATTAAAGACTGAAATGAGGAGGTACAGAAGCTCAATGCCAAGATACAATTACACATACTGGTGCTTTTACTGCTGTAACTCTACATCCCCAGATGGTGGTTGATAAAATATGTAGGATGTACGTCTGTTGGTTGCATCTGTTGGCTGCAGGCTGAGCAGCACAGGTGTTGTTGCACATGGACACAGGACAGCTGGTCATCATGTCTGCAGCCCAGTCGCCAGAGGAAAATCATTACATTGTTCTTTGCTGTAAACCATGAATACATTACATTTGCGTGTTTCATACGAATCACATCAGTGTTTCTGAAATGATGTCATATATCCTCCCGAGACCCTCTGTCCTCACATTTTGGGTTTACTTGACCCTATACTTCATTCTACTTAACTTAGACCTGTTGTCCTTGTTTGTGGACACATTTTTGTGCCATCTAGTGGTAATAAGAACACAGTATACTAATCCATGTAAAAACAAGATGGCAGCCATCTCTGCCAAGTCAGTCTGCAGCCGATCCCGACACAAAAGTGGACAAAGTCCAAAACCTGATCACATTTTACGGTTGAAACATGTTTATTTATGATTAATAGTGTTTGCAGTTTGATATGGCAACAAATTTGATCAATTTTAGCAACAGTAACAAAACAAGACGCTGTTAATTAGGAAGTACTGTTTTAGGACTTTGGGACTTAATTGTTGTTCATTTGAGGACATTTGGATTTAATTATCGTTGACAGTGTTTAGTTTTTTTTATACTTTTCGGGTATATTTATCCCATATTGATAGGAGAAATTAAAAATGCAAACAAAACAAAAGTTCAGGTCTCAGGAGGATATAAGCTGCCTTTGTTATCAGGAAGTAAAGGGGATGATGGATGGCATGTCACCTAGATGAGACGTCTGCAGCACTGCTAAAAACCTACAAACAACAACACCAACTGTTTTGGGGCAATCCTTCACGACGTTTTCACCGGTGTTTGTGAAACCAGACCTGAGTGTTTTTCACCAACACATTGTGATGCTTGATCCACGGAACCTAGGTGTTTTTTTACAGACTTGTCCTTGCTTTTCCAGAGGCTCTTGTGCAACTAAACATTTTTTTTTAAAGCCGAAACATGATGTTTTTGGAATCATGACCAAGTGGTTTTTGTGCCTAAACATAACCACATCTTAATCACTACAAAATAATGTACAAATGTAATGTATTCATGGTTTTCAAAAATTTACAATGCAAAAAAAAAAATCCTTCTGGTGACTGGGCTGATGTGTGCAAGGACCATGCTGCCTTTCTTTGTTTGGCTCATGTGGTAATGAGCTGAAAAAAAAAACAACTTTAATTCCACTTTAATTGTTTATGAAAGCAGTTTTCTGTACATATTATTGAGTAAAGTCCCTTATTAAAATGAAAATACTGTGGCTCAGATTTCTTCAACAGTAGTTGCGTGTTCTTGGGTTTGTTGTCCATGTGTTGAATCTGCTGTAAGGAGAGATAATGAGCTGTGGTGAAAGCCCAGAGCAGATGGTAGAATATGATGTTGTTGACAGCATAATAAATGAATACTGAATTCCACCAATTATAACCTGGCAATAACATGGTATCTGTTGTCCAAGTCAGATGTGTTTAGGCCCTGTCAGAGGTAAAGGCAAAAATGCAACCTAAACCCAAGGAAAGGTCGATTGTGGGCAGGTAAGTGGTGCCAAAGAGAGGACCACCAGCACCAGGTGTCCAAGGTTACAGCCCTTAGGCCACAAAGGTCACAGGCAGGTCCCACAGCAGAGGGGCCAGAGAGCAGCGGGGCAGGGCGAATGTAAATAAGGCAAAACACAGTGCCAAAGTCAGTGCTGGCAACACGTCTAGTGCTGTGGACTGAGAGGACACACTCAGAGAGCCGCAGTACAGCCCTCAGTAAACAAGACAGTGTGGCAGAGGGCAGCTTCATTCTGTCACAAGTGTGTCATTCTCCACCCTCATTAAGCATGAACCTTGTTTTAAAGTCTGAGGGGTTAATTACAGCAAAACTTCATCAGAGCATAAGTTCTCAAACTTTATGTAATAATCCAAGTCTCATATATCCAAGCGTATGCTCAGTACTTCCCGAACAGACAATCCTTTCCAACAGGGAACTGAACTTAAAGTGAAACTTACCTATACTCTCTTCAGAGCCAGATTACACTGACAAAAACAGTCACTTTACCTCGCTGAACATTGGAGCTGCTGGTCTACCACTGCTTCCACAGTTAGTTTGTGTTACTGTGGTGAGCTGTGTTAAAGTCTGTAAACAGATGTTTTGGGTTTACTGTAGTTTAAGGTGGAGTCCTATGACTTCAATTCATCAACAGTCTTCTCCATTTTTGGATTCTTCATCCTTTCAGTGGCACCCCCAGAAGTTTTTCATCTTGGGATGATGCACCAAAACCAAAAGTCACAACTGAATTTCAGGAATTTACTCATGCTGTTGAATTATATCGGCTATTTTTTTCATATTCCATTTATAGATTTTCAGATTTTAATACAAAGGAAAAAAAAATAAATAAATAAATAAAAGGCTCTTATAGGCAGTATGACCAGCCAGAAGTTCAGCACCAGCTACTGAATGGATGTCTGCAATATGAGCTATACATATAGTAAGAGTACACACGTTGTTTGTCCAACCCATTATAAACAAGTATATATGCATATGTGCAAACACTGGCCATTCTTGATAAATAGGACATGAATGGTTGCCATATTTTATCAAAGATTACAGAGCTGAGGGAAACACAAATTATATAAACTAGTTGAGAACTATGTCAACATGCAGAGTGAAGGAATCGCACACTGGTTTCCTTATTTTACAGTTAATGTTACATTATATGGGCAGCACAGTGGTGCACTGTCACCGTACAGAAGAGAGGGATCCAGGTTTGAACCCGCCGGCCTCCACCTATGTGGAGTTTGCATTTTCTCCCTGTGTCAGTTTTCTCGAGTGAGTTGTTCAGCAATCCTGTTTTTATGTGTTATGTATCTATACATGTAGGGCAATTCATTGCTCTTCTAATAGACAGGTTGTCCTTTTTCATAAAGAGATAGCTTTAATTTGAAGAAAAACATTGATTGTAATGAGCAAAACATTTACTGGGAACAATCCTTCTCATGTTTAGGGGAGACTGGTGGGCACCCATAGAACCCATTTTTATTCAGATAACTTGAGGTGGAAGTTCAAGAGACCCCTTTGACAATGGTCCTGCCAGTTGTTCCCTCACCACAATTTAACTTAACTTTGGAGCTTCATTTAGCCCCCTTTCCCACAAGCTATACCGACATAGTTGGTACCACTGGATGTCTTACGCTGGGTTCACACTAGCTGTCAGTAGTCGCCTGGCCTTTCACACTAGAAGCCATCTCTCCGCACCAGTCAGCAAGTGGTCTGGTCTCTGCCCCCTTGACCGAGACGCCACTGTGTTCACCATGGAGGCATGCGAGAAAAACAAATTATTCTTCAGGGTGAGTAACTGATATACAAACTTGTGTGGCTAAGTGTTCCTTTAGTGGAGAGCATTAGCACATACATAAACATATACAATACACCATAGGGCTGAAGGTTGGGTTGGACCTTGTTTGTTTAGGTGTTACATCAATAGGGACATGACTATCAAGCATCTCAGGGTTACACTGAGGAATTGTGCCAAAGGCTTTGCTCCAGATACGACCACAGGTACCTTGGTCCTTACCAACCAGTCACAACTACTGTTACACACCTTTCCCACACACAAACATGAACACTTTGGGTTAACTTTCTCATTTATAGTCTGTGAGAATGATCAATTATTAGAGTCTGACTCCCCCTGGTGTACATAATGTGCCCCTGCTCCCCGGGCCAGCCCTCCACTCTACAGACCACAACTCAGTTATACACAGCTTGAAAAGCCACATGGTGAATGGCAAATAGAAAAGAGCAAAGGCAAAAGGGAGAGAAGACAGCTTTCAATCAGATAATTACAATTAAAATAAATAGATGAATAAGTAAATGGAGGAATGTAAACCAAGCACAAAAAGTAAGGAAATTTGTGTTTGGTAGACTGTTTCTTTGTTGTAACAGTTCTTCTTGGCAATAAATTTTATACTGTTGGAAAGCCTGTTTATTTCCCTTTAAAATGGTGCCACATTTGTAAGGAAGGAAAATGCATTTGTGGGATATTTCCCTCAAAAATCAGTTTGGTCATGTTCATCATGTCCTCCAGTGTTTACAAAGTGGCATGACACATGTCCACCGGATAAAATGACTGAATGGAATGTTGGGATTGTTAGGAAAACTGAGTTAGATTCATAAAAAGTGGTGCAATGATACTTTAATGCAACATTTCAAACACTGGAGTTTTCTCCATGGTCCAATATTGAGTTTAAGTCAAGTCAATTTTATCTGTACAGCACATTTCATACACAGGTAAACACAATGTGCATTACAGTAAAACATAGAAAACAAACAATGAGATAGAAAACATAAAATACTCTACATAAATAAAATTACTCTGTTGTGCCATTTCATCAGTGGTAGATCTTCTAATTGGCCCAGAGGAGGGGTGCCAAAATTGCCCAGATAGTTTTTCTTTTTTTGTCATTCAAAATAAAATAAATAAAAATAAAATGAAATGACAAAATGAATTAAATAAAAAATAGATAGAACTACAATGAAATAAAAAAATAAGAATAAAAATAAAAATCAAACAAAAGAAAAATGGTGGACTGTATGTGGAGAGCATTAGAGAAAGAGAAACTGAAAGACAATTGGTTGTGCAGGGAATACAAGAGGATGAAAAATTTGGAGATTTGCAAGCAAATAAATAGCTATGAAACATGAATGTAATCAAAAATATATGGGTTTTGGGGGGAGGGGAGGTCTTGCCCAGGGTGCTGAATGTGTTAGGTCCGGCACTGCCTTTCATATTTGTGAGCATAATGTGAATAAAATATATCCTATATTACTTTAATTTAGTGAGTTAAGTCATATGGTGGCCCGTTTTGTGCTCTTTACCCTCCTCTTACATGCAATTACAAGACTTAGACTCTACATACAAACTCTGTATGACCTGAACACTGAGGTGTGAGTCATGAGTATGTTTAAGTATGACCAAGCTCAAAATGTTGAGTTAAGTTAAAATCAGACAGCCTGGGTCTAACATCTGTCAGGTGCCTAGATGCCACTCCACTACACCAGTGCTATCGCTTTAACGGGACGGGCGGTGACGTTGGGACGGGGATCCGGAGCAGACAGGAGGTTGCTGCAGCTGGACCGACTCCCGACCGGGACCAGAACAACACCGGCCTACAGACTAACATCTGATCTCACCGTGAATCTGACACTACAGGGTTTCAATCCACCATGAGAGACTACTCAGCGGCTCCGAGCAACGGAGGCGCCTGCATGCCGTGCTGCCAAGTTTGCGTCTTTGCCTTTACCGCATTTCTCATCGTTGCAGAGAGGACTGCGCGTGAGTCTTACCTGGGACACACACACGCGCGCGCACACACACACACATACGCTCTGCTTACAGATAATAAAACCGAGTGCAGCATCACTAAAGACGTGTCTGTGTATTGTAATGTAGTGGCATCTGCCCACGCTCATCCCTGTTGTGTGTTTTTTGACTTTATTTGCGTGCGCGTGCATGTGGGCGCGTGCCACATTGATGTACAGTGTGTGCGGGCTGCAGCGGCTGGAGGAAAGATGCTGACATGCTGTAGATGAGACATAGGGGGGTTTAAGATGATGTGTTGATCTGTTTAAGCATCGATAATAATCCAACATATAAAGTTGTACATGTGTTTCCACTTGAGCAGCTGTGCCCTGTGTTGTCATGAATAATAGAGCCAGAGTCTGCAGTCAGCACTAGTGCGCCTCTTTCCTATTTTTATACGCTGCATGTTATGAAATCCAGTATGCAGCAAAACTGCAGACTCATGCCTGAGTTTTCCAGAGGTGATCTATTTCCAATAGCTGTAACATTACAGCGGAAGAGGGCTCTTTTCTGGATAAAAACAAAGCGGAGCCATGTTGTCATATTTCAGCGCCCTTTTTTTTGGAGGTGTATGAATGGACGAGGGGATGGGCGTACCCCATGATGGGGCCTAGTCTGCCCGGGCAGCCCGCCTGTTTGGCAGCTGAAGGGGTTCAGATTACATGTGTGGGGAGATGGAGGGAGGGAGGCAGAGTGCAGAGCTGATGAGAGGAGTCTGTAAGTGAGGAGAGGAAGCTGCACTCTTGTTGTCAATAAACCATAGATACATGGGCGGATTATGAGACAATGGGCCCCTGGGTGCAGATATGTAAAGAGGCTCCACCATGTCTCCTACACAGGAGCAAGACACAGACTTTGTGGGGGTTTTACTTCTGTTTTGTGGTTGTTGTTTTGCATCTTTCTTTAGTTATTAGCCATTTTTTGTGGTTTTGTGTCTATTTTTTGTCGGTTTGTGTCTCGTTGTAGTCGTTTTGCATGTCTTGTGGTCTTTTAGTGTTTTCTTGTAGTACTTTTGAGTCTCCTCCTGTGACGACTGGTCAACCAGGTGAGAGTGGGCTCAAACACATAACTCTGGAGACAGTTTGGGTAAAATGACACAGTTTTTAATGGTCAAAAGGTAGGTTTGGTACACAGAAGGACTATCAGTGGAGGCAAATAAATCCAAGGGATGAGTCAGAGGCAGAGTCAATCAACAGGCTAAATCCAAAAATCCAAGAAAAGGACATAGGGAAACAGAAGGCTAGACACATAAGGAGCGAGACACAGGTGAAGTCATCAATAGGGAGGGAAAACACACAGACGCAGGAAGTGAAGTGATCTGAAACAAGAGGAGATGTGAGTTTCAAAGTAAAACATCAAACAACATGAATGAATGAAATAAAAAACCTAACCTAAGAAACCTGAGCTGTGACACTTCCTGATGTGTGACAATTTGCAGCTGAAGGCCAGGGGGCTCCTAACACTTTGGGCCCCTGGGTCTGTGCCCAGTAGGCCTACTCAGTAATCCATGCATGCTTAGGATAGAGGTCATATTAAACGGTGAAGACTCTTACAAATGCTGTTGCCCTGATGTAAACACGTATATTCTAAGCACTGCAACATAAGCAGTATCGTACAAAATACTGCTAGTCTGTTATTTACACACTGTTTCACACAGTTGGTGATAATAATGAGCTACGATATCAAGAGACAGCTATTATTTTAGAGATGCTACTGTGATATTGTGCATGTGATTTCTGAAGCTAATCTGTTTTATGGTCCTGCAACTGTGTATGCAGAGTGTGATTTACCTGTTTAATCTGTATGTTTTTATGATTCAGATCTTATAAAAAACTCTTTAGCATCATCATCAGCAGCACACTCAGCAACAGCTTGCGGAGTGTATCTGACTCATTATGATTCATTTCAACCATTAATGTGAGTGATGTAATGATTTTGTGTTGTAGCCGTCTCGTCTGGTCAGATAGATCTAAATGTTTCTTTGTGTGTCTCTCCCCTCTTTCCCCAGTGATCTATTGCTTTGTATACTACCTGTGGGTGGGTCACAACTACTGCTATGCCCATCTCGCTGGCTTCACTGCGCTGTTCCTGCTGCCAGGTGAGACAACAACAACAACAGCAACATATCAATCTATATTTACAGCATAAATATTTAAGTTGAGGTCCTCAAGAATAACAATAGAGACTGAATGACAATGGAGACTGAATGACAATGGATCGTTTTTTATGTTTGTTCTATTCTTTCACAGGCTGGGGTCCTCAGTGGCTCAGTTATCTGTGGTACCTGTCAGATGGACGCATCCGCAGGAAGTCTCTCACCTGGACACACATACTGCACCTGGGTATCTTCAAAAGGTGAGTCAGCCTTGTGCGTGTGCATCATTACGTCTATTTGTTTATATTTGATGATGATGATAATGATGTAGTGGCTTTTCCTTTTCTCCTCCTCTCCTTTGCCTCCCTTTCATCCATCTCTGACCTCCACAGGCTGTTGGAGTGCATGTGTCTGCCAGATGAGGATGTATACAGCGAGATCATGCAGCAGGCTGATGTATCAGCCTTACGTCTGTTTGAGGCGTTGGTGGTCACCCTCCCTGAGACGCTGCTGCAGACCTACGTGCTCATCTGCACTGATATAGGGATCAAATCTCCAGGTAAGGAGAGACTGAGCAGGAAATGTAGAAAGCGTTTGTGCCAAAGTGATAAGGTCTGAAATAGCATGTGTAATTATTTGTGTGTTGTGGTAAAAGCATGTAAAATAGCTGTAACAATATGACAATTTGAAAAGACTTGCTCGTAGTGAGGAACCCACAGAGAATTATCTCTGCAGCATCCCTCGGCTTTACAGAGCTTTGTAGAGAATTTCAGCTGCTCAGGCCACAACATTACTGTTTTGGTCCATTCTCACTTCCTGCACAGTGTCCCCTAGTGGTCTTCAATACTAACACATCTGTGTATTGTTGAAAAATGTAATATTGAAGCCCAGAGAAAGTCCTCTAATGGTCTGTACTGTCCCGCTGCGGAACAGACTTCAGGTTGATGGACTAAGAGTCTCATCCTACTCTCTAATGTGCTATGTGTGAGCTCAGTCCTGCGTGTTCTTTAATGAAGCAATAGGAGAAGATATTCGGTCTCAGTTAATGTAGTTTATTAAGCAGTAAAGGAATAAAATTACAGAGCTCTGGGTCTCAACTTCACGTCCCTGACGAACAACAAAGGTGTGTCAGTTCACTAAGTCTGACCTCCTGTCCTTTCCCTGACCCAGTATATTTGAGCGTAACAGAGTGTCATTGTGCACGCAAGGCGTTGTCCTCTTCTCATTGGCAGTTCCACTTCCTCCTTCACCACACCACGCCCCTGCCTCGTGTTAATCTGACTCCTTCCCGCTGGCGGCGGGGGCGTGGTTCCTGTTTTGAAAGACAAGAGAACAACACAACTCCCTACACGTGCTGTACCTTACTATCTGTATATCACTTTCTATTCTTTTTACCATATATGAAACTAATTATCTAAGCATTGCGGTATGTGCTCCTCAGACTTCATGTCTCTTCCTCTCCTGTACTTCTCCATTTCTGCAAAGCAAACACATTCAGATCAGCTGAAATCATCTCAGTATTCTCATTGTTCACACATCTAAAACTTATATAGTGAAACACAACTTATAGTAAAACACATAACATCATTCTATTCCCAACAAGGTCAACTGTGCAAATATGATTTACCGTGTCATTGATTTTTTGTTTGTAAGTTGTGCCTTCAGAATGGCAGATCAAATGTAAAAAATATAGTCTAACTCAAACAATGAGAATAAAATAACTGCTTAATGTGACAAAGCTGTAGTTCACCCAAGTTATAGTTAACAACTAGCTCATGAACATTGTGTCAAATATTTCCCTCGGGAGTTGGTAGAGACCAATACAGAGGTGAAAGAGAGTGAAAACTGCACTTAGACTTATTAGGTGACCAGAAACATGATTCTAAATGAATGCTGATGTTGCTTTATGTCTGTTGAATCAGGTAAACAGCTGTTTGCTAACATGTTTGCTACAATAACTTTATGATAACTTCACAATATAGATATATAAACATGTATGACCTGAACAATAACTGTTCTACTGCCCCCAAGTGGCCAAAAAAAAAAACCAAACAAAACAATTAGTGCAGCTTTAATCTGAAACAATTTCTCTGCCATTTCCAGTGTGCATGTGCAGGCAGCAGACTTGTATTTGATGCACAGTATGTACGTAGCATTGCAAGGTATCAGAGTATTTACATTTCTTCTCCTCTCTGTTTCATCCCTCTCCCCTCCAGCCTCGGTGTGTTTTGTGGTGTGTTTGTTATCTCTGGCCTGGGCCTTGGTCCTCTATGCCAGAGCCTGTTCACTCATCAGACCAGGACACCTACAAATGACCCCTGCTGCCATCCTCTGCCGACTTCTGTGGAGGGTGGGCATCTTTACACACCACCCAGTCGCCAGAATAATGTTGGCATTGCATGTTTCTGCAAAACACAGATATGTTACTTTGTACATTTCATACGTTGCAGATATGTTGAAACTTTACTTTTCTTTACATTTCAGTTTTAAATGTTATGTTGTGACAACGCTGTGGTTAACATGTGGTTAGGCTTGCCCAAAACAAAAAACAAAACACTTTGTTATGGTAAGGAAAACATCATGTTTTGGCTCAAACACACCTCATTTTGTTGCTACAAACATGGCTAGACATGTCCCAAACTGTTTAAAAAACACCACCTGGATATGTTCTGAACTGTCTTAAAAAATACACGATTTTGTCACAACAAACAAGACTGGACATGTCTCAAATGTCTCAACATTTGTTGGTCTTGAACAGTGGTCTACAGCTGTCTTCTGCTTGGCAGCTGTCTGGCTTAGGTGTTATGACATCCATCATCCCCTCTTCTTTCTGATGAGAAACTCCACTCATACACATGTAATCTGAACTATGTCATACGTATGAAACATATCAATGGTTTGCAGAAATGTACAATGCCAACATGTTATTCTGGCACCTGAGCAGTTACACAACCCTCCTGCAGTCAACATGCACAACACACACCCTCAGTATAGTAATCTCAATTTAATAAGCTGCATACGTATATGCCTGTGTTTGGCTTTTTGTGTGACAGCTATATTTTCTCTATCTGTAGGTCAGTATGTTGGGATCTCGATTTGCTGTTCTCATGCTCTTCACACGTATCTTCAAACAGTGGATCCTGGGAGTCCTTGGTAAGTCTGGATGCCAAGGCTTCATCCCCAAGCTCATGTTTTCTAACCTGACAGTCCATTTTCTACTGGATAAGGCAGAGAGTGGCTTGTTTTTGCTCGGCCAAGGACACTCTGTTATGGTTCATCACCTCTACTCAGGTTCTCTGAATTGGTATATGTATGCTTTAAAGGTTGAATATTTAATTGGTTGTGTGTGTGTCAGGTGTGCACTGGCTGGGTGCAACTTTCTGGATGGTGTCTCAGCAGACCGACATCATACGTTCAACTAGTCGATGGAGACTCTTCAACCTGGTGCTGGGAGCCATCCACATCTTTCTGTTCCTCAATGTGAAGTGGGGTCAATCCAGATACCGCATGGCTGGGTTCTACCTGGTATGTGCGTGTGTGTGTATTTGTGGTCCATTCATGCCTGTGTGCCAGACTTTTTGGGCAGGGCCATCAACAAAAAAAGAAATACCTGCAACATTTGAGACCCGATAAAGAGAAAAGAAAAACAAATTAAACAACTAATCATGAGGTAAAATATATACTGCCTAGCACAGTCACATTACAGACATGAGTTAAAAATGAGCCAATACAAGCACTAAAAACATGTGTATTGCTTAAAATTGTCCAGCAGATGGCATAGCTGACCTGAGATCCTGATAATGCACTCCTTGAATCAGTATAAACACTTAGACATACACTAAGCTGAATAAAGAGACAAATATGAGACAAATATGGATTTCAATCATGGAAAAGGGTAACCATCTTCCTCTGTTTCTGATCATTCTTCTTTAGGTCATGTTCTTAGAGAACGCTTTGCTTCTTCTGGCCTCCTCGTGGTTGTTCACCATGGTGTCCTGGGACACTGTGGGGATCCCAGCTGCAGTGTTCTGTAGTTTCCTTATCGGTGAGACACAGCAACACTGTATCACCAGACTAAGAGTCCGTAGACATGCTAGTGGCTTTATGAGGCTGCATTAAATGTTAATGTTGGCATGCTAACACTGATGATGGTAACAGGCTAATGCTAAGCAGGTGAAATCCTGTTCATCATGTTAGTTTAGCAAGCTAACCATTGCAGTTGGAAATTTTCATCTGATGGTAGCACCAGATGAAAAAATTAAGGGATCACCAAACTTATCACAGTTCATCCTGATGGGAGCATGGATATCTGTACAAAATTACCACTGGCATGACTAAAAAACTATAAATGCTGCTCTCCTGTATGTTCATTTCCATCTTTTCTGTTGAGATCTAAAAACTTTTACACACACCTGCACAACGCATTTTCAAGTCCTTCTGGTGTCTCATCTTTTTATCTGTTTCTTTCTCTCTCCAGGAGTGATAGCATTGGTGCTCTACTATCGTTTCCTCCACCCCAAGTCCTTTGAGATTTTCCAGAGTATTCGCCACAGGGGGATAGGTGGAGCCTGCGCTGAACGTGGATCTACACTGTCATTGGAGGAGAAAGTCACACCCACTTTCCATCGCCATGCAACACTGTCTGGTCTGTTAAATACCAACCAAAACCTACCTACCTACAACCTACCTCCCGACCGTACTTTCCTAACTACCCACCCTACCTAATAACACCTACCTACACAACTCTTGTCTGTTGTTTTTATTTATTTTAATTGTGATTTTAATTGTGTTTTTAATGCTCTGTAAGTTTCCTTGAGTGTTGAGAAAGGCGCTTTTAAATAAAATGTATTATTATTATTATTATAACCCTACCCAACCCTACCCTCCTACCCTTCCTTCCTACCTACCTACCTACTTACTTACGTACCTACCTTCCAACCAACCTGCCTACCGACTAACCTACCTAACCATCACCCTTCCTGCCCACTTACCTACTTACCTATTCACCTGCCTAACCACTTACCTCCCTTCCTACCTGCATACCAACCTACATACATACCTACCTAACTATTCACTTGCGTAACTACCTATCTTCCTTCCTACCTACCTACCTACCTACCTATCTACGTACTTACCCAACCTACCCAACCTACCTGCTTACCTCCCTACCCACTCTACCTACCTTAACACCCATCCTACCCTACTTACCTACCTACCCACTCTACTCTACCTACCAACCTACCTACCTATTATTATAGTGACAGTGGTTCTTAATTTAATCAGGAGGTGGGACCCTCATGGATCTCCCTATCCAATGGGAGGGCTGGAAACATCACCACTGGCTGTTGATTCGCTTGGCCATGAAGACAGGGGATGTCACTAAGATCTGGACATCGTATGGCGAGGGGGGACTGGCTGGACTGATGGGTCTGTCTGAGGAAGTTCACTCCCCTGATGAACATCATGTCCCTCGGGTTTGTTGGGTTCCTGTTGTTGAACGTTGCTTAGAAGAACTATTTCTTTTAGTAGTGAGACTTCCTGTAAATCGATCTTTTAAAAAAATATGAATTTCATTACTATTTTTTCAGTGGAAAGAATGTTCTTTGTGCTTCCTAAACCTGTCCCTCCTGGCATGCAGCCTACTACGTGATGTCTTTTACTATTATGTAAAACGGTTTCTTACTCTTATTTTGTGCTGTGATTTGTCAGATGCCAATTGTTCAGCCGCAGGTTCCTCAGATCTCACAACCAGCTCCTCAACCACCTCCACCACAGGTGACCCAGGCTCCACAGGCAAGTCCTGTGTATCATTTATCCCTCTTAAACCATAAAGTGGGACTACATGTATACTTGGAGCCACTATGTGTAGGATTTGACAGTGGAGATGAATGATTGTCGTTCATGAGTATAATAAACAACTAGCTCAGCCACCACATTGACTGCTACTACTCTGAGTTTGTCTGTCTGCACTCCGGAGCTCAGCTGTCTGTCTTGTCCGCAGGTGAGAGAGGTGGTCCAACCACCAAAGCCAGCTCCCTCCACTGTGGTAGCCAGGCCAGTGAGAAAAGCTCCACCCACAACAATCCACGATATAAGAAATTTTCCAGAGATCATCCCGGTACGGGAGGTCATTCCTGAAGAGAGTGCAGAAGACGAGTCCAGTGCTGCACCATCTGAAAAAGGTTGGAGGCTTGATGAACACTGAAGCCTGCTGGTGCACACACTCAGAAAGACACACTCAGTGACCACAGAAATGTTACTATGATAAAGATTTTGTCCACAGGTGCTGACTGCGGTATTGCAGACCATCAAACAGTAGATTTATTATGCCACCAACATCTTTTACTTTTATCCACTAAGGGAGAGAGGATGCAGTGAACATATTCATGAGGTGTTCTTCTTTTATTGTTGACCTTTGCCATGGATTTGTTTTAATACTTGGACAGCACAACAGTCTCTGTGATACTTTTCTGGTGTATTTGATCATGCTGCCTGTTAGCTAATACTTTAAACCTGAAATAAGCAATTTGTTTGGCCACTTTGAGGCTGTAAACAAGCTGTGGACAAAACACTGACATACCATCGCTTCAAAAAAGTGATATGGCACACTTGTAAAGTGAGACACCCCAGTTCAAAACATTGTTTTTTCATGCACTGGTCAGTTTTGAGAGGTCTTCTTTCAGACTGGTGGAGAGAAAATGTCCACATTTAGGTGTTTATTTTAGTTCAGCTTTCTGTTCTTAAGATTTATGTATAAAGTACTAGTGTTTTATTTGTGTCTTCTTTGTTAAACACGCTTTACCTTTCTACTCGATGTGATTTCATTTTCAAAGGTGATGAGGAGTTTCAGAGTGCTGCTTATGGCTCACCAACACCTTCATCCCCGCGGCAACCAAGCAGCCTTCGCCATGTTGACAGCAACGCTGCGTCCCTGACCGAAGCCTCGTCCTCCGTAGGTTCCCTGGACATCAAGACTCCCGGCTGGTCACCTGAGCGACGTTCCCCTCTCCTGATTGGCTCTCCAGAGAAAAGGCCATCACTGCCTGGAGAGTCCACCACTACGCTGTACTTCAGCGCGGATGCACAATCTCCCTCCAGTGGGAGCTATCTGGGCTGGGGCTCCGAGTTGTCGCCCATCTCCACCTACAGAAGTCCCTACCGGATCAGGGAGGCTCGTTTTATCACATCGACCCCACGCCTGGAGCCTCGATCTGAGAGTCCAGGTCCGTCTCCTGTTGTTATCATCCCGGCCACTCCAGGTACAACTCCGGGCCCCACCCCAGGTGGAAGCCCCGGTGCATCGACCCCTTCTGCATCATCAACACCTGCAGCTTCGACTCCTGCTCCTTCAACGCCCGTTGGTTCAACTCCTGGTACTCCAATCGTTCCACTCACTCCAGTCATCTCCCACGCTCGCAAACAGATGGTCCAGTTTGTGGACACTAGAGAGAGAATGGTGTAAGGAGGGTGGAGGGTCAAGGGGAAGAACAACTGGGTGGGCAGTGGTGTCTTTTTTAGTTTAGCAGTTTAGGATATACATGAATTCATGCATTAAGTAACCTGGGGAAGGCTTGGCAGGGAGTGAAGGGGTCTTTTCAGCTCAGTTCATTTGAGTCAGTCATGGAAGATATTCTATATAAATTCTTATTTATGTTTTTCTCCCTGACATGAAGATGCAAGGGTCAGACGTTTAGGATGCATAGATAGCGCACTTGCTGGAGGAGAGTGTGATAGTATGAACGCCCTCATATGCTATTTTGGAAAAGGTGAAAAGGAAGCATCTGGCAAATTCATGTGTAGGAGGCGGGGCTAGTGGTTGTCTGCTATCTACCGAGACCACTAGATGAGTTATCAGTGACAAACACGGACATACAAGGTAATCAGCCATTCAAACATGGGGGATGGGGGGATTCTTTCAGTTTTTTAAAACCATTTGCTGAAAAAAAATCACTATTCACTACTACAGGTCATTATTTACAGAAAACTACATCTGGGTTACTCCTCAAAACACAGATACAACTTCACAGGTGCTAATTCATGTGGGACATCACTTTTATTCATGTAGATAAACCCTCACACTTGGTCATTTTTTTGTGTTTTTAACTAAACACAAAAAAATCTAATGCAGTTAGGACTTATTCAGGCAGTGGAGTCATCTGGTTACCTAATTTTTAAAGAGCAAAGTAATTGTTAAAACAATCATAATTATTATGATGATATTTGAATCATGAGTTGTGATAAAATCTTAAGCTTAAACAATCACGTGAATCAAGATGAAGTAACTTAAATGGAAGAATTTTCAAAATGAACCATTTTATCAAACTAGTTTACAAACACCAAACATGCTGACTTTCATGTAACGCCACTTACCAATGCCAGTGTCTTTTTTTCTACATTGGTAAGTCTGATACAATCAAACCAATTATCTGTCATAATAAATAAATAAAGCAGACTTAATGCAAATCCAAGCATACCTACAAAAGGCTTTGACGTTATAATTCTTGCAAAAGCTTACATTTTTTTCACAAAAACCTTCAGATGATGTTAAACATCCCGTCCAGTTTCCAGGAAGTCCCTCATTCATCCGATCAGTCACCCACTGTGTGTACAGCTCCGTACATTACATCACACACATTACAAAGAAACAGAACTCCCTTTTACACTCTGTAAAATACTCAAATCTATTAATTGATGTCTTTATTTTCATGAAACTATCAGATAAGCAAAAGACTAAAAGCAAAGCTTTGAGGGATTTTTTATAGATTATATGCTCTGCTTTATGTTGCTAATTGTAACTGCAATAATTCCAGTCGGCACTTTATAGCAGAAAAGGTACAGCTCACGTAGCATGATGCTCTGTAGAATACACTATGATTATAACACGAGAACACGTCAAAGGGAAATTAAGCAATATAGAATATGAAAGCAGTGTCGCGTGATGCTTCTATTGTAATGCTGTTTGTTAATGCATTTCATTTTATACGTCTATTTTTTTTAAACTTGTTGATGGCTTGTTTTTTGTCTGTTTTAATGATTATGACCTGCAGAAATGCTTTCAGTCTTTCAAAAAAACAAGACAGACACTTTCCCCATTTGGCCCTTTGAAGAAATTGCAAATAATTGCAAACTGGTAATTTTAGTGACAAAGAAAAGATGAAGTACAAAAGAAGGAAATGTCCGCAGGACACAAATACTAAGTGTGGGTTCTTGTCTCTAACAAAGAAGAGGTAACTTTTATGAACACCTCTGACAATCACAGTTTGTTTCCTCTTTAACTGATGAAAGACAGGAAGTGTACGAATGATGATAAGATACAATCATAGCAGCAGTTCAGTCAGGAGAGACTCATTCTGAGTGACAGAATTTTTATTTACATGAGAATTGTGAATAGTCTTTGGCGAACAGACTCCATTTGTGATGTCATATATTTTACTTCCCCCATGGAGTCTAGATGCTGGTGGTGATGAGATGTAGAGGGTACTGAGGATTTAGATGTGATGAGCTCAAACTGGGCACTGGATGTGATGACTGGAGGTGAATGGCCTGAGATGACAGCAGCAGAGAGGAGAGCAGATATAAAGTTTGACAGCAGCAGCAGCTGTTAGAGACCATGGCAAAATTTAATTGGTTTAACTGGACGCCTACATGCCTATAATCAGCTGACAGGAAAAAGCAGGAGTAGTGAGATTGAGAGACAGAACTGTGAATGAATGAATGAAGCATAAAGAAAGTCTTCCTAACTGAACTTGCACTGAGCTTAATTCCTGGTCCTGTTAATGTGGGTTGCCATGGCAGTAAACGTATATGTGCTGGGATGGAAGTTTACTGGTAGTGTTTATAAACTTGTGACTAAAATTCTTATGGTTCCAAACTGATTTAAATATTTTAATTCTTAATTTGGCATTCTTTCTCCTCTGCCTACATATTGATTGGTAGAAGGCTTTGCTGCGTGCCGTGTCTGCTACTTTAATTATTAGCATTTAGCATATATTGTTATTGTTGCCGTCCATTTATTCACACTGGTTTTATTGGTTTTATTGAGGAGCACACAGCAAACAAGCTGTTCTCAGCTTAAAGGCACATGAAGAAACTGTGTACCTGCCTGATGAAGAAAGTTAAAGGAATACTTCATCCACAAAATTGTCAATTGTAATTCAGTTAGTCATGCTGTGTTATCTTGAATTCGGGAAGAAAAGTTTGTTTTTCTTACATGCCTCCATGGATTGATTTGTGTTAATCGGGTACCACATTTAACAACAGCAAAACTACATCAAAACATTAGTTGGCAAACATTCACACAAGCAGTATAACACAGTATAATCCAAGTTAGTTTATCCAGGTGTATGCTCAGTCAGTACTTCCCACATTTTTTGCAAACAAACAAAAACAAAAAAAAACCTTAGCACTCTGGATTTGAAGACAGTATAGAAAAGTTTCACTGTCAGTTTAGTAAGTAATAGTAAGGTCTTAGCAAAAATGGGTTTCAATCAGGAGAGACAGAAGAATGAAATAAAGATGAAGTTAAATGTGAAATGTCAGTGCTCAGTCTTTGGCACTTAGACACCAGAGGGAGATTATTTGTGATCGTGGGATGCCTGAGCGGCAGCAAGATAAATCCCCCCCATGCAGTCCAGACACTGGTAGTGGTGGTGGTAGCTGCTGACTTTGGCTGATGACTGCTGAGGCGATGACTGAACTTTCGCTTGAGCTTCATGTGTTTTTGGAAGTACTGAGCATATAACTGGATAAATGAGACTTGGATTACACTGCAACGAGTTGTGTGAGAGTTTGTAAATGGATGTTTTGCTGTTGTCAAACATCGTCCTTAATCAGTCAGTAAATCAGTATGTTCACCATTTTCCATTGAGGCGTAAAAATAAATCCTCATAATTTAAGGTAACACAGCATGATTTGTTGATCTACAAATGGTCATGTTGTGAGTGAGCATATGTAGAAACTGTGTACCTAGCTCGTGCAGAAAGTTAACCATGTACAATATCAAGGTCTATTTTACTTCCTGTAAAGAAAAAATGTAGCAGTTCAGTTTCGTTTTGGACAAGAAATCATTTCCTCAGATGCAGACAGTCCATCTCAGTAAACATAAAGGGGGAAATCTAATTCTGACAGAGTCTTAACTAAATATTTACAAATTTAAATGTCGTCAGTATTCCCTTGTAAAGCCCACTATACTCATAAATATACGCAGTCCATCCGCATATCTTTCAGTTAAACCTCCTACCTCAGTGAAACTGAATTTCCAAGTGACAAAAATGATTTTATCTTTTTATAATTTGTTTTGATGAGAATTACTCACTGTATGACTGACAACACCTTTAAATGCATAAAACATTTTTGATAATGTAGCTACTGGAAGGAAGGGAATAGATAAGGAGCAGAGGTTTAGAATAAAAATGTCCCTGGAACAATGTGCTGCTATGAATTTAAAGTTTGGTCAACACCAGTATTATGTAATGTTATGAATGTTATTTATTTGAATATGTTAAATCTGATTGTAACCATAGAATTAACAATATCAGTCTTCCATGTATACTTGTCTTCTATTTTTTCTGTTTTTCTTTTTTAACTGTGCTTTATTATTTTAACTTTCTAAACAAATATAATAGCTATAAAGTAAGTTCTGTATCTGTAATGAGCAGTTAAATGTTGTGATAAAACATGGGCAGAATATAAATCGGTGTTTATGGAACAAAGTGCAGAGAAAAACGCGCTGCATCAAAGCTGTGTCAAGCTGTTATCCACATACCTGCTGATAGATAAAGGAGTCACTGCATGTTACTAGTTCATCCAGAGAATTGTATCTATTCCTTTAGACAGAGAAAGCACTCACTGTAACTACACACACATTACAGTACTTAACTCACATGCTCGGATGTATGTGTACGCAACAGCAATAAGCTAATGAAATATATCTTAGTGCACTAATTAAAATGTATCTACACGCACATGCTTTAGACGATGCCTTGGCTTGATCATCATGACTCAGCGCTTTGCCTTGTAGACAGACAGCTTCAGCTGCCATGCTTGTCTTATGATGTGTGTATTGCTTTGTATTTGAACGATATGCTTTGCTTTGTGTACCTGACGTGTATGATAGTCTTCACTTGTGTTTCTAATTTGTCTCATTTTGTATTTTCTTAAAAATTTCCTTCTTTTATATTTGGTCACATTTACTGTTATGACACGCGTGGACAGCCACGGTGCATTATGTCAAGGTTTGTGCTGAAGTTTCACACGTGAAGTCGTTTAGAGGCAGTATCATATATTCATTGATGAACTGATATTAGTTTGCTGATTGAGTGTGACGTCACTTAGTCACGGGATGGCCTCCATGTATCAACATGCATCACCTCATCTCTACAAAGGTTTCCACAGGGCAACTGTTGCTGGTTGTGGTGAGTCAGTTACTGTGCTGTTGATGTGACAAAATAAAATCATCAGTCATGATCAAAGCTTTGAGTTTTGTCTTTTATTGATCATTCTTACATTTACTGTCAATTGAATATTTTCATGAGCTTTAGACATAGAGGTGGAGATGCATAACGGCAGTGTGAATGATACAGTAATAAATACATTGTGGAGTCAGTATAGTCACTGGTATAATGGCTGGTGCAGCATTACAGTGAACATACTGTGTTGACATTATCACAGGGCTGGATTAACCTGCTGGGGGGGCCTGAAGCATGCACCACCGTTCCTCTCATTCCTCTGTACATTGTGTAAAGTGTTTCTGTGCTGGTGTGGCCCCAAGATGGCTATGCAGACCTTTTATTAAACAAAAACTATAGTAGAATTTTGTACCATATCTGCATAATAATTCAGTAAAAAGGGCTTCTCCTATGGTGCCCCTTCAACGTGAAACACACTACAGCAGCAAAGTGAAGCTGTCTATGATTCCCCCAAGGAGATTTGAAGCTACTTTTAATAAATCTGGAAAAAGCATCTCTGGGGGTCTTTTCTTGTACGAAATCTTTAAACTACAGCCTCAGCACTTTTACTTTACAGTTTGTGATGGTTTGTCTTTGCATAAATATTCTGTTTGAATGTAACTTTGTGTCACATTGCTGATGCAGGTCTCTCTTGAGATTGAAACCCAGTATCTCAACAAGAAAACCTGTAATGTTTCTGTAGTAAAGATTAGTTTTTACTGGGTGGGGCTGGTTGTCCACGCTAGCAAACACAACAAAAGCTTTTCCTTGGCTCACAATTATAGGGGAACCTATTTTGGTGCTTTATGGTCTCCATCTTTTAAAGGGACAATACAGTGCTTTTGTCAAATAGTGCTATGTAGAATCATTGAAGATGCCATGTAGCACCATATTGTTTTTAAATTTTGAGCCAGGGCCCTAGAGTTAAGCCAGATAACACCATTGACGAGTCAACATACCTGCAATACCACATTACTTAAAATACAACTTATTGTTAATCGTGTCTTACAAAATGTGGCTTGCACGTGGAATACTGGAATACTTCTGTGCACATGGAGGCAAAAACATTGACTGACTCACTGCTTTAATGTGTTAACCTCTGGAAATACTCTGTTTGTAGACTATTATAATGTAGTGCTGTTCTTCTTTCCCAGTTAACTAAATTAAACTGAAGAACCAGTTTAGAACTTCTGAGGAGCAATACAGGGACTATACTGTCCTCGCAATGAGTCCTCATACAGAGCTAGACAGTTAGTCTTGTTCTCCAATAACCACAAGATGTGACTTTTCTTGAAAATTTAATGGAGACCAATTACTGTAAAACTGCAACAAAAATACAAAATGCAAACACAATTCAGATTCTGAATACTTATCACACTGACATGACTATATCTGAAATAAAATATACCGAGTAGCAGAGCAAAGCACGTTAGCCAGTTAGCAATGTTAGGCTACAGGTCATTTTAGCTGAATTTACAGCAAAACAAATGTACAGAAAACATATTGTGCATGTCATATCTATAAAATGTTAACCTCAAATACTCACAGACAAATAGTGTCCAAGGCAACAACGCTGAAGACAAAACTGCAGCAGGAGAAGCGGTCACCATATGCTCTTCACCATGTGCTCGTTGACTCTGAGGGAAATTCTCTGCTCTACAGCTACTGCTATTGAGTAACCAAAAGGGGCACTGCAGGCCACAAAACCTATTTAAATATTATATGCGCTCAAATGGAGGGCAGAACAGGGACATTAAAGGTTCTCTACAGGTTCCTCAGCTTAGTTGACTTTAGAGGAGAAAGAACCAGTATAGAGAACCTCTAAAGAACCACACAGGGCCCAAAATGTTCTGTGTGGCAGCGGTGCCAAAAAGCTGTGGTTCCCAACTGGTGCAGCCACAGGGTTCATGTTTCTCCTTAGTAAGTAATTCAAGGTCCACACAGTTTAAAAGCGTCCAGCGTCATACTTGCATTTGGTCATGTCACAGAGCGAGTTTGCTGTCTCTGTTGAGTAGCTGTCTGTTAGTCACTCAATCTACAGTGAAAAACACCACTTAAAATAAAAGCTCTGTGCCGGAAAATCATTGTACTTAAAAATAAATGTGATTTTTACAAACTGTGTTTGCGATTCACTTACAGTCCATTCAGAATGGACTCTTGACCCACTTTTGGACTGCAACCCACCAGTTGGGAACCGCTGCTATATATCACCTTAACCCAACTGAAAGCACTGCTGAAAAACCAACAGTTTTCTGTGTATATGCTCAACACTTCTCATTTCTCATCCAGGCCAGGGATCGGCTGTGGCGGAGTTTAGATAAAGATTAAACAAGCAAACAAACATTATTAAAATAATGAATGTCTTGAACCTTGAACCAACATTTGGTAATAAAGCAAAAATTACTTTAAGCCTCTTATTAGTGTTGTTATTACTGTGCTGTAATAAAATAATAAAAAAAAAAAAAACAGCACAAGTCACATTAATTCAGTTCAATTCAACTTTATTTATCCCTGCAAGGAAATTGCAGTGGCTCACCACACAGGTCAACAAATACACCCACAATAAATACAAAGAAGAAACAAACAAACAAACAAACAAAAACATTGGTAATCACAAAGCTAAAATCAATAATAGACTTCAAGCTTTAAAACTATTTGTGCAATGGTAATATGTAAATCATAAATGAATAGAAATACACAAAAAAGTAATGACAAAGAGTAATGAAGTTTTACAAAAGCCTTGAAAAGGATTTATGAAGAATAGAGAAGACATGTATATTTTAATATTGCCAAGCAAAGCTGTAGTTACAAACCAATTCCCACACAGTTGACCAACTTCATTAAGTTAAATAATAGTTCAACTGAGTTTAAAGAAGAGTGTGATTTTGGTTTGACTTTAGTTCACCTGGTTAAATAGGACAGTGTTGTTGATCACTCATGCTTTGCTTTAAAAGGAGGATCAGCTGTTATGTAACTGTCTTGGTAAGACAATGATTAAAGCTGGTGTGCTGTGCTTACAGTATTTTCCCCATCTCATCATTTTGAAAGTCAGATGACAGACTCAGAGAAGGAAGAGAAAGCAGCTAGGTGATCAGCATTTTCCCTGTGGTCAGTGATCCACAGCATGATACAGCACTAAAACACTTGTCACCATCATTCACAGATCACAAGCTACTTCTCAGAAGAATACAATGAAAAATAGCCTAAAGGTCAGAGATAAACTAAAAATGGTCAGATGCCACCACGCATTGCTGTGCATGCATTATCAAAATATAGCCCTCAGCATTATTTATTTATTTTATTTTACCTTTTCTTTTCTAGGAAGTTCCATCGAGATCAAAAATCTTTGTTCAAAGTTCTCCCACAAAACACAACCAACAGACGTGCAGATTATAAGACAGTGGGCCCCTGGGCACAGACAAGCAGAAGGACCCTTCCCTTAGGAAGAAATTACATTTCATTTTTACAGTTTTGATCACAGCACTAACTTGAAAGTGACTGAGTTGCACAGGGGCAGTGCTGCCTTTCCTGATGATGATGGGAGTGAGAAGAAAGACATCAGAGCAATACAGACAGCAGACTTTGATTTGAATTATCTGGAATCACTTATCCTTGTCCGGTACATCCCTGACAGGCTGCTTAACTATCACAGGGCTGACACACAGAGACAGGCAACCATTCATGCTCACATTCACAGTCAACAGTTAACCTAACCTACTGTGAGGAAGCTGGAGAACATGCAAATTCCACACAGAGCACCCAGAACCGTCTTGCTGGAAGGTGAAAGCACTAACCACTTCACCACTGTTCCACCATGGGCGTATGAGACAATGGGCCCCTGGGCCCAGACATGCAGAAGGCCCCACCACCTCTCCTACACAGCAGCAAGACACACAGACTCTATAGATAGCCTCTGTTTTTGATAATGTTTTGTGCCACTGTGTAGTCCTTACATATCTCTCTGTGATTATGTGTCACTTTGTGGTCATTCTTTGTCCAATAGTTGTCCAATAGACCAATAGTTGCTTTGCAACTCTATGTAGCCATTCTAAGTTCCTTTATGATCATTTCTAATGTTTTTGTAGTTGCTTTGCATCTCTGTAGTCATTTTGTGTCTCTTTGTAATCATTTAATCATTTTGTGGTTCCTTGTAGATATTTGTCTCTTAAGCCCTATTCGGACGGGATTACCAGTAATAATTACCAGAGATTTTAGTCCTGTCCGAATGTGCCATGTCAGTAATCATTACCGCACAATGTCAGTAAAGATTACCGTGACTTTTACCTTCTGTAAAAGGGTCCCGGAAAATTACCTCAGGTACGAATCCCGTGCGAATAGACCAGCAGTAAATATGTGTGACTTAGGGCTGTCAAAAAAAAATTCAAAGTTCGAAATATATTCGAATATACAGTTAGGTCCATAATTATTTGGACAATGATACAGTTGTTGTCATTTTGGCTCTGTACACCACCACAATGGGTTTTAAATGAAACAATGAATACCTGCTTAAAGTGCAGACTCTCAGCTTTCATTTAAGGCTTTTTTCAAAAATGTAGTATGAACCGTGAAGGAAT